ATATATATATATATATATATATATATATATATATATATATATATATATATATATATATATATATATATATATTATAATAAAATATGATATAATAAATTATAATATAATAAATTAATAAAATAAATTAATAAAAATTAAATTAAATAAATAAAATAATATTATTTAAATTCCTGATGGAATCCCTGGAAGCGATCGTCAGTGTAAAGATGGCGAGCACACAATACACGCTACTCACACATTATTCACAGAAAACTTAACTAATTATTCCTTTCGAACAGTTAATCCTTTTGAAAAGCTCAAGAGAATGTGATGTTTTTCTCAGATTTCCCCAGAGTACCTGCAGGGTGTTTGTGTGCGGCTCTTCAGCGGAAACATGAGACAGAGTGCAGCTCAGAGCCTGGACTTCACCAGACCCGGCACTGTGAGTCAGCACACACACACACAGACACACACACACCGCTTTTCTGATCATACAAACACAATCTGTGCCGAAAAGCAGTTGTATTTCAGTAAAGTACAATTTTATCAGCCCTCCTGTTAAATTTGTGAAATTTTCCTGAATCTGTTAAACATCATTTAGGAAATCTTTAAAAACCAATAACATATTCAAAGGGGGCTAATAATTCTGACTTCAACTGTATCTGGTAAAGTTGACAGGTGCAACATTGTGCCTTGATGTACTTGAATGTGAAAAGTACAAAGTGACTTGTCAAATAAATGAACAAGAAAGATTATTTTGAGTTTAAGTTATTTTAATTATCTTGTTTACGAAGGCTGCAGAGTGATGCATGAAAGAAAATGACTTCGAAGTATTTTGTGATATGTGGTACAATGCGCCCCCCAAAAGTACAAGTGACCCGAAAATGATCAAAGGAAATATATTAATGCAATTCAAATGTATAAAATATGAATTGATGTTTATTTTTGAATTATATTGTTCTATTAAAATACATTTTAAAAGATTTTGTCAAATAAAAAAAGTCATCCACCATCATTTTGTGGCTCAAAAGTATCGTTTCAGGCACCGTTTTGGCACCGGTATCGTTTTAAAAGTATCGATTTAGCACCGGTATTGAAATAAACCCAAACAATACCCAACCCTACATAATAGGCTGAAATGTTACACAAAAATTATTGTGTTCATATCAGTGTTGGGAAAAAAAAGTAACATATTACAATCTGTAGTCACCTAAAAAATAAATAAAACGTAAATAAATGTGTTAGTCACTTTTTAAAGACGCATTCATTCATTCATTTTTTTGTCGGCTTAGTCCCTTTATTAATCTGGGGTCGCCACAGCGGAATGAACCGCCGACTTATCCAGCAATTTTTTACGCAACGGCTGCCCTTCCAGCTGCAACCCATCTCTGGGAAACATCCACACACATTCATACACACACACTCATACACTACGGACAATTTAGCCTACCCAATTCACCTGTGCCGCATGTCTTTGGAGTGTGGGGGAAACCGGAGCACCCGGAGGAAACCCACGCAAAG